TCGTACCTTCGTACATACTTGGCATACTCTTGTGTCAAGAGGCAACGGCACGCAAAGTAACTTCTAAATTCAATTAACTCTGTGTCGTTTGAGAATGCGAATTTTTAAGAGAAAACCTTTTAACTGTTTTGGTTTTTTGTTTGTGAAGTTAATTAAAGAAAATCCTGGGAAACTCATTTATTGTAGTGCTAATTGAATGTTTGAATAATTAATTATAATGGATGGACTAAGAAAGCTCTAGCGATATTTAAGGCTATCTAATTGTACCAAAAGACGTCGTGATTACGCGGCTTTTTTATAAGCATGCGTATTTAGTTCAATTCAATTTTGTATGACTTTTAAGTTTTAAAATAGTGGCAAAGACACGTACCAGGAAAATTAGGACAATTCCTTCTTATACGAGCTACTTACACTTACGTGGTACGTGACGAGTCGGCATAAGACGACATACTCTCCCCCACTGGGGCCAAAGAGGCTAATTCCGGGTGCAAATTGTCTTTCGCCGCGAGCTCTGGTAAACGCGATTTAATGACGACCGCTTAATTCGCTTATAAGCCACTTTTATCTCGGGATACAAAATTAAGTCGTTAGTTCGGTACACGAGTCGAGAACGCCTCTGCAATTAGCACCACGCGAGCGTTAATTAAAAAGTGATTTAATTAAAAATCCGGAAAGAACAGGAAAGGACGAATTCCCAGAATGTCGGTTTCGCACGGATTCGAATTCCAAAGCAATTTGCCAATCACGTGTTTTCTTTCGTATTTTGCAAATTTACCTTGTGTTACTTCGATAGTGAGTGTAGTGGAAGTTAATAAAATGAAAGAGTGGACTGTATACAATTAGTTGTCTATTCGGTATAAATTAACAATGTTATCGAGACCGTTTTGTGCAAAGTCGTTGAAGAGAGTGCGTCAGGATCGTCTTCTTAGATGTTCGCTCGCGAACCGAACATTGCTCGTTCGTTCGCCGAACGCTCGCCGCTCCCTCCGGTCACGCCGCCCGCGGGCAATGTCCGTGAGTAGACACCTTGTAACCACTTTTACTTTTGTTTCAGGTATGCAGAAGTAAGATACCATCATTGACAGTTGCTACTGTACTGTGAAGGTATGAAGGAAGACCTATCTTTATCTGCTAGCAATAAAAAATGACAACACAAAATGTACAGTCGCGGAATGAAAAGGTTCGTCACCTTAGAGTCGGTTTTCGCTTGCACTAGGTACTGTGAGAGTCAAACCTGCCAACATAGCAGTGCAAGAAACAGTGCTGCTAACATTTAAATAAATATGACGTTTGCTAACGAATAAGGTTTTGCTTGTTTATTTTTCTATCCCATCAGTGCAATGCAATGATGACATTGACCAATTGACAATAGTTTTTTTTATTTAAAAGAAATAATAATGGCAGTTTGAACCAACAAGAAGGTTTTAGTTTATCAATCATAATAATCTATCTACTTGACAAGATAAATCGTCAAACAACTTTGATCTGAATAATTTTGAACTTTACTGACGAACAGTTAAAGATTATTTTCTCTAACTCAAGATTATTCTGTAACATAGTTTCAAAAGGTAATATGTGCTCGCGATTCGTTGAAGGAATCAATTTGAAAACTGACGAACCTTTTCATTCCGTGACTGTACTTAGTATCTGTGTTGAAAAACTTTACCACAAAAATTGAACAAAGAAATAAATGAATATCTTGAGCACATTATTCAAATAGCCGCATAAATGATAAAACTTTAATGCAACTTATTATATTGTGCTAAAGACTTTTATGCTTCATCGGCACAAAGAGATGTTACGGCTGAAGCGCGGTTCAAACTTGGAATACAGAATACTTAAGTGAACAAAACAAAAGGGAATTTAAGAACGCTGAATATTTTCACATCTTCGTTCTTTGAAGCGTTCCGGTGGTTGCCGCATTCGAGTTAGGCTGTGACCACACAGGTAGTAGACTTGTCAGGTGTCTAGCAAGGTGAATTTAGCTAAACGCTCGCTGCATTCATGATATACCTACTTCGCAATAGTGGTTTAGGTTAGGTTAGGTTAATCTATGAACTTAAAATCATAAATAGTGAGTTTATTCTACTATATTTTTTCAATTATTACAATGTGAGAGTCTAAGTTATAAGATTGTGATTAATTAGTAGAACCTCCTTTCCTCTAGGTAATTTCAGTGCATGACAGGGTCTTAATGACTAATTAATTAGCATTGTTTACTTTGGAGATGCAAATAAATATTTGAATTCGAATTAATTTATTCGTGCATTTGCGTTAAATAGTCTTATTTTTGATACTTACCATTTATAACACGGATCAAAATAAAATTACCAAAGCCACAATCCCCAGTGGCGGTATTTGTGCTCAAATTTTTCACTGACATCCATGTAGCTTGCAGTTTATGACCACACTCTGGCAGTAAACTTTATGAACTACGGCTGTAGAACATGAGGCTATAGCTTTAGTGTGGTTTGCAGAAATTTCACTGTATTGTAAGGTAGTAATACCGGGTGGTTTCACATCTTACGAGTAAGCTTTGCCTTCGCAACGGATTTTAACTTAGAAATGTATAAGGTACTTAGGTATTTACATTGGTAACTGGAGTTCACAGTTATTGCAGTAGAAGTTTATGTTATCTGCGAACACGAGAAATAAACAGAGACACATTCTTACCGTTTCTTGTGGAAATTAAAGCACACAGAAACAACAGGTTTTATTCGCTATTAAGAACAGTAGTAACAGTAGTAATACATCGGATAATACTGAATACAGATATAGATATCTCCTGGTCTAAGCGCTGCAACGATGATTGAAATAATTTCTTCAAGAATTTGAGTTCAATATTGCAGTTACGCAGCAAACATACGCCTTATTTCTTCCTTTTTAAAAATGTAGACCCAAATCAGATAAATATTCTCGAGTCAACAAAATCGTTTTTCTCCAATCCAAACATATACAAAAAGAAAACCTCTTGGGAAATCATAATGATTTATACATTGCAGCTCCGATCCTGCCGAGCATCTGTCCACGCCATTCATGGTAAACATACATTCTTAACGCAGTGTGTAAAGGGTATATTACCGATGCCCAAAAAATAAACACTCACGCAGAATCAGCTACCTACTTATAATGCAGGCAACATTGCTCTTGTTACTAAATAAGTAAAGCGCAATTTCCTCTGCAAGTTTACACGTTGGTTTGGTCAGTTAAATATTTAATCTTTCAGTGGTGAGCCCTCAAAAGGCCAAATAGCCACACCGCTGTAAACCAAATCCATCGCCGCTGTAATCGGCTGTGCATGTTATAACAATAGATTAAGCGGGATTAGTCAATCGTTTACCCTTAGGTGCTTCCGTTAAGTGCCGCTATCAAGAAATGTAAATGAACGCTTAATCCCCAGTTGGGATGTGTAAAAATCTTCTCTGTTGGCTTGAATTCCTCATATATACGTTGAGTTTGTGTCGGTAGGTAGATCGTTTTGTGTTTATGTGTATGTGTGGGTAGTAGATGTTAATACCTAATTATTCGACTGTTATAAAAGAAGTTAATCACTCAAGTCACACTTACTAGATTTTTACCACTGAAGCAGGTTCCATTATCAGTCGGTTTTTTAAATAATATTTTATGGCCAAAATTGCCATTCTTTTGACTTAATGAGAAGCATTCTTTTTGGTTATTTAATTTTTATTTTAACTATTTATTGACTCTAACCTTCACCTTATAATCATTGCAACAAAACATGTCTACCTGGATAGTAAATCCATAGTACCTATATTTGCTACCGTTTAATCCGCACACATATCGAGCATTCGTTTTAATTTACTTCCCCACGGCCATCGGGATAGAAATTCACTTTTATTTGTAATGGACAAAATGTTCTCTTGTTCAAACTACGTATTTTTCGACAGCCAGCTCCACTATGTGTGAATCCCGGGTCAGCAAATACAGAACTTCTGATTGAATAAAATGCCAAATTCCACGCAGAAATAAATGGAATTGACAAAATATTGCAGAGTATTTATTCATCATTTCGGTTCGCAGAAGTTGAAAACAAATAATAGTTATCGTTCCATATTTTCCGAATGTAAACAATGTCGTTATGTGGAATTTGTAATAATGTAGCAATTCGAAACAGATATAATGATATCAGTGTGGTCTATAATGAAAAGAGATAAAACCGGTTTTAAATAGACACTAACTCCAGAAACATTTGGACTTTTTAGTCTGTAAGTCTACATTTAGAATTTGACCTGGGCAGACGTAGAAAACCTGAAGTAGAAAAAACAGCTATAGAATATTGTAGACATTACCCATCTATAAGAGTGTTTGTTCTTCTATAGGGATATAGTAATCTTATATGTACTAAATTTTACTAAATTGGTTGTCCTATTAAATAAATAAATAAATATTCACGAAATTAGAAAGATTGACAATGTTTATCCATACGGAATGTTCAAATCGCAAACTAGAAAGCACAAGAGAGTAATATTTCTGCTGCACGCTCGACTGCACTAACTGCTAACAGCCAGCAGCGATTTGAACTGCACAACAATCTGAACGATCCCTGGCTCCCGGGAATAGAAACAATTGGACCCTATGATGAGTTGAGTGGAGAAACGCGAAAATTTCACGTAACATTTTGTTTATGTGATTTAAATAATATTTTGTGGATACCACATCAAAAACCTCACCACACACAAATCACAGATGTTGAATTTGAAGATTAAGTACAATATAAAAGAAAAATAATGCTTTTCTTACTTCTATAGTGGTGACTAANGGCGACCAGACTTAAATGCATTGATCGCCATCGCTGCACGCCGGCTGATCGCGTGTGATCGCGTTGGTTTGGCCGAACCTTAAAAGCTGAGTACTGAACTTGATTGAAGACGGAAAGTTAATTTTCTTAATTTCTTGTTATCCATCCTGCACTGTATAAAAGGAAACCTGTATGCGTGCATGATCGCGTCTGATCGCGTTGGTTTGGCCGAACCTTAAGTATCATCAAAAATTTCTTTTTATTAATCTTCTTCTTTATTTCTTTATTAAATGATCAATTAATTGGTCTTGTTCGATCAAAATGTGTTGATTAATTTTTTTACAATTTTATGCATCAAAAATCAAATTCAAGATCCCTCAAACTGACAGGCATGGTAAAGCGAAACCGAAAAGATAATCCAAAAGAATAACACCGTAGTTTTGACGCCACCACCATCTATAATAAATTCGTGTTCAGTATTTTACATCGCAGTCATACTTGATTCCCGGCGGGCTCGGGTTGTGGGGAGGTCAGAGGAGGGGCGCCGAGTTTCGTCGAGTTCAGCACAGGAGTTCGGAGTTGGAAGGCGGTACTCAGCTGGGTAGGGGGGGCCGCGAGGGCGCGGGGCTGGTGGGCTGGGGGGTCGGCGAGGGGGCCGCGGTGCTCTCGGGGGCCGAATGCGTTCTCCCGGGAGGCTGGAGGACGGGGCTCTGCGGCCACGGGTGCGTCGTGGACGCTAGTGTTCTGGAACATAAGAATACGTTCATTACCAAAAATAAAAACCATCTATATTCGTACAGACTAATTAAATCAGTGCTTACAAATCGTCAAAATATTCTCTAAAAGAGCCTAAACATGTCTCATTATTTTTTGCCGTACCAGCGCTTCACGACAAATATTTGGCAAGTGCTGAAAATAATCTTCACAGCAAAAAAGATATTGTTTAATTAAATGTGCAGCTACAGCTAAAGCTGAAGGTCTAGGCCAGCATTGTTACTAAATGATCAATTTCACACGTCTGACTTTTCTTAATAAAGGTGTTAAGATATCCAGTAACCAAACCTAGCAGTGGAGTGCCCTAAACCATAGCGAAGTGGTGTAAGGGTGGGTGGCCTCGTGGCCGCAACTGTTTCAGAATGCGATTCTTCCGTAGTTCAGCTTGCTACAGCAATGCTGCAACTTCAGATTACAACTGATCTATTCAGATAATGTCAGCCGTGTCGAGATGCAAGAAGTTACTCCACTCGCTCCCAGCAGCACTGTTCCAACCACTGACTATCTGGGGGCACAGCAGTGCCCCCACCAAGTCGAGCAAAAAAGCGGCACGGCCGTACCATCCTTTTCTCGAAGCAATTCAGGCCATTTTCGACCGCCTGTAACTTCGTTGTGGATAAAACTAGAAGGCTGAATTTTCATTAGCTATGCAGGCATTGTAAAGACACGGTATAATTTAAAATTTCATTCAATTTGAACCAGAAGTTTAAGAATTATAACGGGTCAAAGTTACTTAATTTTGTCACTCACTGACTCACTGACTAACTGACTGACTCACCGATCATCAAAATTCTAAGGCACTTCTAGCAGACCTAGAAGCTTCAAATTTGGAATATAAGTAGTGTTTGGTGTATGAATCAAGAAAAAACTAAAACATTTGGGGGCACGGTAGTGCAACCGCCAAGTCGAGTAAATTTTTTCAATTTCGGTCCAGTTTTCTAGATACATAACTGCTGTCTACAAAATACAAAAAGAAATGAGATTTGGGGCACGGTAGTGCAACCGCCAAGTCGAATAAAATTTTTCAATTTCGGTCCAGTTTTCTAGATACATAACTGCTGTCTACAAAATACAAAAAGAAATGAGATCCCATCAAAAACAATACTTGTCAAAAAAACCAAGTCTCGCAACTCAGTTGTTCTACGGTAAAAAGTTGTGAGATCCATGTAATACCAAATGCAGGCCAGGAAATCTTTAACGTTTTACATAAATATATTGACTTGGCCATCGCATGAAAACACGTGTAAATTAAGTATTACATGGATCTCACAACTTTTTACCGTAGAACAACTGAGTTGCGAGACTTGATTTTTTTGACAAGTATTGTTTTTGATTTACTATTCTACTCCTAAAAGAGGCTTTAAATATACCTGGCATAAGGCGCTATGGTAGAGGCGGGTGGCGTCGGTGCCGCAGCCGTGTCGGGGTGCAAGAAGTTCCTCCACTGTTCCACTCCCCTTACCAATGCTGTAACTACTGGTTACATTTAGTTTATTGCTAAAAAAAACTTTATAGATACCTGGCATAAGGCGCTATGGTAGAGGCGGGTGGCGTCGGTGCCACAGCCGTGTCGGGTGCAAGAAGTTTCTCCAGTGTTCAGCTCGCTCCCACCACTGCTGCAACTACTGGTTTATTCCTAAAATAGGCTTTATAGATACCTGGCATAAGGCGCTATGGTAGAGGCGGGTGGTATCGGGCCGCAGCCTTGTCATGATGCATGAAGTTCTTCTGCCGTTACACTCCCTCCCAGCACTGCTCCAACTACTGACTACACCTATTTTACTCCTAAAAGAAGCTTTATAGATACCTACCTGGCATAAGGCGCTATGGTAGAGGCGGGTGGCGTCGGTGCCGCAGCCGTGTCAAGATGCAAAAAGATCCTCCGCTGTTCTGCTCGCTCCCATCACTGCTGCAAGTGCTGCAACTACTGGTTTATTCCTAAAATAGGCTTTATAGATACCTGGCATAAGGCACTGTGGTAGAGGCGGGTGGCGTCGATGCCGCAGCTGTGTCAAGATGCAAAAAGATCCTCCGTTGTTCTGCTCGCTCCCATCACTGCTGCAAGTGCTGCAACTACTGGTTTATTCCTAAAATAGGCTTTATAGATACCTGGCATAAGGCGCTATGGTAGAGGCGGGTGGCGTCGGTGCCGCAGCCGTGTCGGGGTGCAAGAAGTTCCTCCGCTGTTCTGCTCGCTCCCAGCACTGCTGCAGGCACCGCGCCATTACATCTGGCAGGTTGTTCACTTGTTCCTGAAATGAGGTTAATGGGTTTCATATTAGTTTGGTAAATCTCCAAAATCAAAACACTATGGAATTTTCATACAAACTTACAAGTCATTAAGGCATTTGTTCACGCAGAACTACTTAATAAAATGCATTCTTGAGTTTGAGAATTTATTGTACAGTCACGGAATGAAAAGGTTCGTCAGTTTTCAAATTGATTCCTTCAACGAATCGCGAGCACATAATACCTTTTGAAACTATGTTACAGAATAATCTCGAGTTAGAGAAAATAATCTTTAACTGTTCGTCAGTAAAGTTCAAAATTATTCAGATCAAAGTTGTTTGACAATTTATCTTGTCAAGAAGATTATTATGATTGATAAACTAAAACCTTGTTGGTTCAACCTGCCATTATTATTTCTATTAAATAAAAAAAAAACCTATTGTCAATTGCTCAATGTAATCATTGCATTGCACTGATGGGATAGAAAAATAAACAAGCAAAACCTTATTCGTTAGCAAATGTCATATTTATTTAAATGTTAGCAGCACTGTTTCTTGCACTGTTATGTTGGCAGGTTTGACTCTTACAGTACCCAGTGCAAGCGAAAACCGACACTAAGGTGACGAACCTTTTCATTCTGCGACTGTACTTTTGGACAATATTACATTGAAATAAATTGCGAGTTAAGTAAACAGGCTTTTACTCGTACGCGTCTCAGAATCACTTTAAACCTACCACAGTTGAATACCGAAGCAGTCTTCGGGACACTAAATGGGCCAGTGTTGAGAAAAAGCAACGCAAGAAACTCAGTTACCTACCATTGTCAGCTATGTCTATGGCTATAGGTGAGCCAATTTTTGTGGTTTCGCAGTAAAAAATTGAAAATAAATACAAACCCTACTCTAGTGTCAAAATTATTGAACTTAATCTTTACCAGAAACTAAAGAACTTTCCATTTGGAACAGGACAGTCTTTAATCTACTGGAAACTTTGGGAATTTAAGAACCAAGAGGGACCTTTCTCCTAAAAAAAAGGAAAATTATAGAACTCTTTACTGATTTGGGATCCCCCTTGATCGCGGGACCCTGGGCACGCGCCTAGAGTGCCCAGTGAGAAAGAGGGGTCTGATTTGGAGAGCTACTTTTAATTAAGTTCATATTACCTGTAATGATGTAAGTTTTTCTTCTAAACTAGTCAGCCTCTCTTCTATGCTGTCTTGCCTCGTGCTCATATCCGAGACGATCTCATAGACGGTGTTCTGGGTCTGCAACAGAAAGGGGTCCTACTATCAATCGCTTTGCAGTTCAAACTTTACTGTAGATTAAAATCACTATTTCTTGTATAATCTGTATTTGTATCGAGTGAAAATAATGTAGGTATTATGTCTGAAATACTGTGTGTTCCATGCTTGTTTGTGTAATGTCGATAAAAGGTCGTAAAGAAAGACTTCTATCACCGAATATGTAGCTCGGTGTTTCTAAGGTGCTGTAATTATCTACTTTTCTAAGTTCTAGATAAAGACATGCGCTATCTGGCTAAAGGTACTAAATTTTGATCATGCGCTAAGCAAGTGGGTATGGAGTTTCGAAAAGGTACATGCCAATTGAAAAAATCCTACTTTAATTAAGTAATAAATCTAGATTTTTCTGCTATTTACTAGCAACTAACTTTCAAGCATCAGAACTCCAAAATGGAGATCGCATCTGGCTAAACCTTGAGTGCTAACTAAATAACTAAATGGGAGTGTAAAAATGAGTGTAGCTTTAGCTAAGACATTATCGGGGAATTCGTCGTACCTTTGCCATGTCTGTTATTGTGTTGGCGTTGTCCATGAGTTTTCTTTGATCCATCTTGACTTTTCGTAACCTGTAAATAAAATTGTAATGAGTTGTTATTTTTTTCGTTAAATTAATTGTGGCGCAAAATGAAAACGCTCCAAATTTTTAATGTCGATTAATGAGAGCATAGCTATGACACTCGTAAAAACCTTTAGAACAAATTGCCTGAGAAAGTTTTGCATTACATACTCGTAGACGTACGTGTATGTTCAATTTCTTAAGCGTTTTCACAATGAACTACAAAATAAATGAGACACAGTTCTTTTTTTCTAAGTCTAAGAGCGCTTTCACATTAGGGCGTTAGTAGCGCGACTGCAGCTCGGCAGCGGCGTTTTTATAATGTGAAGAGATGCATCCGCTGTCACATAGTATGAAATGTTCGGCAGCGCATCAGTCGCGCGTTTGTCGCGCTGCTAAATCGCCTAAATGTGAAAGCGCTCTAATACCTACAATGAGCTTATTCTCACGTACCAGTCCTATGTGCTTCTGCTCATGTACAGAATCGCGTAGTTCACCTAATTATAGGTATTTTAAGTGAATGCTTGGTAAATAGAGCATACTTACGCATAAATAGCTAGTAGGAATTTTCTCTGGTGCGTCCTCACTCGACCTGGGTGGACTCTCTTCACGAGTCGCGTATGCTTATAAATTAGCCACGTCTCTCGTAGTACGTTTGCTGCTGCGTTTTTCAGCTGTAAATATTCATTTATATTTAGTGTTTCATTCGCCATGCTACTATTTATACTACGGTGAGGTATCAACTGTGTCGACTTATTATTGATGTGTTTTGAAATTTCATTGTTTATTTTGCAGGGTTTTTACTTTATTTCGGTAGAATAAACACTGTGTGGCCAATCATAGTCGTTTGGTCTATTACATGTGGTTTTCAGGGTGTTACATAACAAATAATTTATGATAATTAGTTGTCTCATTAAGTGGTTCTCTGAATGTTATAAATCAGGTTGTATAAATATCAATATTTATTAAAATTTCTAAAGCACATCAATAACAATAGTCAATAATTAGTTTTCATTATTTTTAAAGTTTTTATTAATTTGTTAAAGTTTATCAAGCATACGGTTTATTATCATTCTGCAATCGTGAGTTCAATACCTACAACAAACTTGTGTGTTAGCGTTTATGTAGTTTAGATTAACTGGTTTAACTTTGAGCTAGGTTTGTCTTTTAGCTAGATTTGTGACAAAAGTAGCTCAGTGTGCAAAATAATTTAATTTCGAGCAGGTTTAATAGTATAGTTAGTTTATAGCAGCAGTTCCCAACCTTCTTAAACGGTAGACCCCAAAAATACTAGCAAGGAATTGAGCTCTGTAGATCATTTTATGCACGAAGACGCGCACAACCATTCTTCTGCTAATGTTTGAGTCTTATCGGTACACGCTAAAATCATATCTATGAGCACACGCACACTACGGCGCTTCCCTCGACCAAAAATTGGTGAGGCGCGTCTTCGTGGATGAAACGATCTATGTATAATCTAAGATGTAAATACCAACTTCAGTAACTATTTTTCTTTATAACCCAATAGACCGATAGGACTGACAAAATGAGTAATCCGAGTGTATTTACTTACTTAAAGCAACATAATGCTAAATTGCATAACTGAAAATAGCATTTAAAAATGTTTCAAAATTTCATTTAAAAAAAAAGATATTTTTTTTGTACCCAAAAGCAGGCTTTGAACTCTTTATATAATATTAGTCAACTTATTAACAGCCTTTTTTTGATCCCCCAGTGTAGGTACCCCCCAGATTGAGAACCACTGGTTTATAGCAAATGTTATTATTAGTGTACATTGCAACCCCTAAGCGTTCTAGTGTTATCGTGATTAGCGAAGCTTATCTTATCCTTATCTTACCTGAATCGCCGTCTGTTACTCCTGTAACAGAGACCTTACCTTCTTAGTGAGCTGGGTTTCCATCATGAAGTTATGAACATGTTTCTCCGCTCTAGTCAATTCTAATTTTCGCGAAGCCACTGTCACTAACAATGCTGTACATCCAGCCCCCTGTTAATTAGATTAACAATAATTGATGAACTTAAGTCGCCGGTATACTTACTCTTTTAGTAAGTTGTGTGTCCATCATGAAGTTATGTACGTGCTTCTCAGCTCTAGTTAATTCTAATTTTCTTGAAACAACCGCGACTAATAACGCTGTGCATCCAGCTCCCTGTTAATTGAATATCTTAATGTAAAATGCAAGCGAACGTGTAAGCATTTAGAATTTTGACATTCCAATAGGCTAATTGAAGGCTAAACCAAAAGAAACTATAATTTTCAGCTATGTGCTTTATTTTTAAGAAATTATTTTAATGAGCAAGACTGGTTAACTGAGTCATTGTAACTTTGAAATTTCAATTAGATTTCCATATTTAAAACATTTCAAATCTGTCTCAGTTAATCGTCTTTAGAAATTAATTAAAAAAAATAAAAATCTTATTTAATAAAAAGGCATTTAACTTCTTATGTTTTATGTCGCTATAATTTATTGTGCAATAATGCAAGTCTATAAGGTTAAGAGCGAGTTCAAGTACGAAAATCGTTGGTTTGAGCTTCAAACTGTACACAACGATCTTTCACACTTTTGTCGTCACAATTTAAAATTACCAATCTTAGTTTAATTAATTAAATTAATTGTGAAAGTCGGTTCCATTTAGTGCAAGTTTCACTATTCAGTGCACAGTTCACAGACGTTTACTTCCATTTAACATTAAGAACATCTATTTTGTTATTTAACCAACATTTAACACAAACACTATTTAGGTGCAAAAGATTCAATGTACATTTTATCCAAAGTAATCATAGGAAAAGTGAGCCATTTTAAAAAACAAACTTATTGTGCAATTCAGTGAAATATTCAAGTGAAGAGAGTACTAGAAAGAGTAAGGAGAAATGAAGCATTCCATACTACAAAATATATAATTTCTAATAGCTGGTTTTAACAGGGAAATGGACGTTAATTTACTTTAAAAATCATTGAAGACGGTTCTAGTTCTTTATTTATTAAAATTTATCCAAATATCATATTAGTAGCAAGTACTACCTTAGTCGGTAACAAAAATAAACATAATAATGTAGATAACCTGTATAAAATAAGTGTATACATTGAGTGTAAGTTACATAGTCGTGGCAATGTAACAGTAATGTGTTCTATACAATACTTTTTGCAGAAACAATAATTCAATACATCGAAACAAAAATGATATTTGTACACATATTAAATACTTCAACACTGATACATCGAGAACTCGGTGAGTTGCGTAGAATTTCATTAGACAGTGTGAAACATCAGTATAGAGTGAGACTGATAGTTACATTGATTTAAAAGGAGTGTTGACTGACCTGATTCATTAAATTTTAGAGAAGCGAAAGCATCCCAACGAAGATGTTGGTATGATTTACGCAGCAAGAGATAAGTCTTCATTCTGTGCATAATACGTGTCAGTCAACACAAGTATACAATATTTGTCTGTGAGGAACTTACCATAATGCCGGTGCTAACAGCTATACCTCTGCCGCAATATGTATTTGGCACAATGTCACCAAAACCAACGGAGAGAAACGTAATTGCAATAAGCCACATCGCATTGAGTAGGTTAGCATGTTCTTCATCGTGAAACCTGAATCGAATTTCAAAGTTTTACTCGGACGACCGACTACGCCTTTTAAATTAAGTGTATAAGCCTACCTAAGCAACGTTGTATCTGTGCGACAGTGAATAAGAGAACACAAATAAACGTAAATAAAAACAAATTCAACGCTAAAGAGTTTGACTTTGATTTCGAATTGAAAGTTTGCTTCAAATGTGTGTAGTTTTGAAATAAACACATAAAATGGCTCACCTTTACCGACCTAACTGTCCGCTAGACAAAGCAATGGTTATTTAATGGTTAAAATAGTCATGCCTTGCCGTGTCTAGTGAGGACGGCGGAGTTTTTTACGGAAGATACGAATCGAGGTCCTTAATGTCAACCCAAAGTATCCTACTGGTTTATACATACCACCATACCGCAGGTCAGGGTTATGCCACGGCCGCAGTAAGTGTTGGGAACGATATCGCCGTAGCCAACACAGAGGAAGGTTATAGCCGTCAGCCACATTGAGTTTAGCAAATTGGCATGGTCTTCATCGTGGAACCTGAGAGCCAAAATGCCCGACAAGAACCACAAGATAACCGTTTGTATAACCACAAAAAATAATCAACATATTGACAATCAATCGAACCGCGTGGATTCGAAAAGCAACTCCTAATCATGGATTCCAATAAAATTTACAGAGAAACATCGCTAATTTAAAATTGAAAGCAAATGTCCAAGCATAGACGTAAATCCATGCCATAACATTGCGACATGCCGATTAATTTTGAAAACATACCTCCCTCTACACATTTATCCACTAAATAACAATAAGACTTTAAATATAACGTGCAGTCTAAACACTTATCTGGGTTGAATACCAAACAATTATTACTTTTAGCCATGCGTGAATTAAATTTCTCAATTTGCCTAGGTGAACAGGGTTACGGAAACACAGATATAACATTCAGAAGACAAGAGAAGAAGAAAGAAACATACAGTGAGGAAGAACTGTAAGCAATCTGCTTGAAAGGGATAGAGGTAACTTGTATTGATGCATGAATGTGACGTAAGTGCAATACTCAAGTGCATGTACGTAGACTTTGGCACACCTTTGTAAGCCATCTAAGTGTTTTTGTTTGTGTTTAGAGCCATTTTGTGCGTAAATTACATATTTATTGCCATTTTGTTTATTTTGCATTTTATTAAAGCTTGTCAGTTCACTTAATTACAACTTTTTAAATTGATTGCGTGTCTTAAAATTATTGTTTTGCTTTTGCAGAAACTGCATTTTGTGCTTAGTGACTTCAATACAAGTGTATCACAACAAGCGTATCGTCTCCTCCATTTCACACTACATCTAACACATAAACTAATAGTTTGATAGCAGTGTACTCTCATTTATTCTTATGAAGCTAGGATTGCGAAAATTTTCAAAGTCAAACTCTTGTATTTCATTGTGATGGTCATGAACCTTGCGTTACTACAGAATCCTATAAATGTAGAACTTAGACATCGATAACATAAACACGGTGGATCGAAAAAGCGAAACAAACTTATATACAACGCCACATCACATAAAGCAAGAGCATACCCACTTCTGCAATACACTGGTGAATACGAATGAAAATAAGAACATGGATGGTAAATAAAATAATGGAAGCAAAAAATGGTGTAAAAATAACGACCGGTTGAGCACAAAACTATTTTCGAAAGTAAAATGTGAATAATAAAGTAAATAATAAATGACTTGCCAAAAATACACTCCAGAATTTTGGCAGTTTAGCCAATGGCTTATTAGATGACATTATTACTTATATTATGTTATGGTAAAATGACGACACGTAGGTAACAATAATACTGACCTTTCGCATTGCCTTAGCGTCCAACTCGCAATGATCCATAATGACACCATAAAAACTAGTAACACAGTACCAGGGCAAATGGTCATTAGTGTCTTCAAAACAAATCTGTGGAATATACAAAAGTACCATTATGAACACGAAAATACAAATACAAATAATTTTAAAACACATTTATGTACACACAACACTAGAAATTGGTTTCTGTACATTAAAAATAAGAAAATAAAACATTAATATTTGTAACTTTTTATAAATTGAGACCAGAAAAACAAGTTTTTACACAATACATAACCAAAAAGGCGTGCAAATCACCATCAAAACACCGTGTGAATAATACTTTACAAGGACAGAATTTTGTTATTACCGGATTAAACTGCACCATATTTCGTAGCACGCTTATAAATTGGCTATACAAAATGTATATTTCGTAGCTCCGTAGCGCTACTTGCTACGACGCTACAATCGAGTCATCTAAATGCAGAGACTATTGGTGGTAAAGAGGAGTAAGTTTTGTCAATATAATATGGACTTTATTACCTAGTGTTAAAATTAATCCTGTTTAAAGCTCCTATACTCCTTGAAGACGCATCCGTGAACAACTTGCTGTGTAGTAACATGACCCTGCATATGAGATATAACCGAAAGAACATCGGTAACGAGAGCGTGACGTCGTATGGGACCTGAAATAAAAAGAACAAGAATGGTGTTAATTTATCTTCCATAAGAAAAATATGGATGTTACGTCTGTCTTGTCATTTGTACGTTTAGGGGGCAATCAAAGATAAAAGGGATTTTGTATTTTTTAAATCAGTAAGGAAAAAGTTAGGGTAACAAATCAAATTAAAGTTACAAATTATGTGCAAACACCTTAAGGCACGTGAGTATGATTTCAAGGTATATTCACACTAGGTACTAATAGGCATGGGAAAGAGTGAGATATTTTTATGAAATCACTGACCTTTCCACGGTTTCATACAAATCTAGCATGCCATGTAGCAATATGAATATACCTTTATTTTTCATTTCAAGTGATGTCAGTAAGGGCTCACATTATTTGGATTTAAATCATTATCAAAAGGTAAATATTGTGCACTTGGGGATTCATCAATCAAGTTAAACGGTAAACATACAACTATCACACGGCACTGAAAATAATTGGTGAACAAAATGCAGTAACAGACTGTTTCATTGAAATACGGTTAATTATAATATCTTACTGTTCTTAATCACAAGTATAAAATTTAGGGCAATAGTCTCTCATTCGAAATAACGACTCCAAGTTTAGAAGTTAAGGCAAAATGTGCTTCAGAGGGAACACGAGTTTTCGAGTCATTTATCGTCCTTAAAATAACTTATCAAATTGCCAATTTCAAACACTAATCACATCTCAATAAATAACGAATACTAAAATTAGCAAATGTGAATATTTTTCAGTTACCAAATACTTACTACATAGCCAAGAAAATATACGTCTAGATACATAACCTCCTTTATTGAAGTTGGTTCAAACGATTGTTGGTAAGCTAAATCTAGACTATCGTCTTCTTTTGTTATTATTTCTATATCTGACTTGTGTTTCCGCATTTTAATCAAACTGCCATTCACTGCAATTTCACATAAATGTGACATGTATGACGAACGTCCTAAATCCTTGCTATTTTGCCTTATTTCAAGGTTTACGAAAGAGGTCGCTACTGTTTGAGAAAATTAAATATAAGCTTTTTATACTTTCCAAACAAAGCTTTAAAACCTTTTTTATATTTCCCAAACTACATTGCTTTATTAGTTGCATATTTTTGTTACCATACTCAAGCAGGTAGCGGCCATATTAATTAACGAACAAGACGCACTACAATTTGAACAAGACCAAAACCGTCAGTCAATGGCAAAAGTAGGGCATTATGAACTTCGTTTTGATAGCAATAAAACTACTTATGCCGTAAACTGAATTGCAATACATAATTTAACATAAAAACATGCCAACGACACACTAACATCACTTAAAACTTTTAACACAATTCGATACAGACCTGAATTTGCTTATACATTGTGCCCTAAGGAGAAATCGAAAAAGGATTGTCAGTAAGCAAACCAATTGAAATAAACAAATACAACAATATAAATAGCAGTTATAGAGAGACCTAGTAAGAAATAACAAACGTGCAACAACACATTTTTACTTAATTACAGTGATTTTATGAGTAAGGAAAATATAGAAGATTATACCCATACTAAAAACTGCAAGAACCACTGCTATTGTTTCAGATTTTATAATTTTACAATGATTTCAAAACTAGGTATACATAGTAAAAGTGTTTTTAAAAAAATTTGAAATGGTGCCATTGGAGATTTGAGTTCAGTAACATGAAAATGGATACTTATGATTTTATTTCAAAGAATGTTCATTATTACAACGTCTGTGCATGTGATATCGATATCTTATTGAAATTAATTATATTCTAAGTTGAAAGTACTCGAAAACAAATAAAAATTTTCGGCAACTTATTTCTTCGTGTCAATTATTAGACCGGGAGCACATAGTCGTAAAATTCTTATTTGTCTCCACTAATATTTAGGGTCAAAATATTGTAGAAAGTACAATAACTATTAAAATATCAACTTACAACTTCAACGCCTATAACGCCTCCTTTGTTGGCAAGCTTGGTGGTCCACGTGAAGGTGTACTGGCCAGGGATGGGGTGGACTGCACAGATGGCCAGCTCCAACGCTATCTGGGCTATGCGCTGCCACGTCATGGCTATCCGCCAGTCGTCGGCGCAGTTGTCTATCATAAATAACTGGAATTTTACAAGAAAATTGTTAAAATATTTGTTAATTATTATCAATTTTCCGACTTTATTGAGGTGGATTTTTCAATAATTCACAAAATTTATTTTAAAGGTAAAGGTATTTTAAAACAATCACTTCTTAAATCAAATATAAATGCAGGTAATGACTTGTTCTTTTTTATTAAAACCAATTTTTTAAAGTTGATTCTAACTGTTCAATTACAAAAAAAAAAAACTATAACAATACGTCCAGAATTATGAAAAAACTGTGATTCAAATACTAATTTGTCAGGCCTGAAGGTTTTTCAAGAGTGGATATGAGGCAAGTACGTAATTACCGACGCTGCCAAGAGATAGCGCCTCACGTACAGACAGAGGTGAAGCTACGTAAAGGGTTCGCTTACTCTAAAATGGTCTAATAAATAATGTACTTGCCTGTACTTCTAAAGCGTGATACGCGACGATTAGGCCAAGTAAAATCACAGTCGACATTGATATAAGCGTCTTCAACGCCTGGGAATATATTGATGCCTGTAAAAAAGAATAAAGTTTGTATTTTATGTGAATCTAAAGGTACTAGTTAAGTACTAATTGGTACTAAAATCTTACCTTAGTATAAACACCAGCGCTTGAAAGTTCATTTTCTATAACCATTATAATAATACCAAACATCCCCATTACTAAAGCGTAGTCACTTATTCGTTTTCTTTTTTCAAATAGCGCCTTTCTTCTACCTAATCTGAAAACAGATAAGGAGAACATTAAATAAAGTGATAATTTATTTATTTTAAAACTTTATGACAGTAGATTTCACCGTGTTTTATCTATTCTAGGAGTTTTATTGCAACATCGAATCAAATATCGTTCGATAACGTTCACATAAAATTGATTTCTGTGTTCGGAAAGTCGTTTTAGACTTCGTAATAGCGACTTTACCGCTGCGATATACGTTTTTGTGTCATATTATTATTTTGATACCAAAAATATGTTAAATCACTGTCTTTCAAAACTTACAGTTAACCATTTTGTTTTCCCTGAGTATCAAGTTAAATAGCTTTAAACTAAACCTTTTATCTAATCAGACATAACCTCAACTACTAAAAATTTACAAAGATTAGGATACCGCAAACTAATTTTGGGTTTTAAATTAGATTAATGATAAATCTTTGAAACAATTCAGTTCTGTTTCGATCTTGCATTGACCTCTGACAGTTTCCGTGCCGAGGTCAAGAATTCGAAGATTAACTTTATTGATGGGATGGTCCCTTAGACAACTTCAGCTATAGTCGCCCCACAAAGGTGTGTTAGCTAATTTTCAGTCTAGTTCCTTGTATGACTTTATGTATATTGTATACTGAAGTAATATTTTAGATTTTGATTTCTTTATGTAGTGTATTCACAACAAACTTAGTAAAATTTTTAAATGATGACACAAATTGCATAATTATGATGTTGAATATTGCATCGTGTACCATAGTTGCAGTATTTCTTATTGTTAAAATTGAGTGAAAAATTCCTAGAGGATCAACCTTTTTTGTCTGATCAAGTGTAAAAACAGCACACTGTTTAATGTGAGTTAATATTTTGTTCTGAACGAAACAAAAGACAATACGAATCACGCTAAGTAGAGTCTATCCCTCCGAGCCATCTATGTACGTACGGCCCGTTTTAACCTTTAAATGGATTTAATATAAAACAGTTCTATCTACGGTGAAAACCCATTTTAGCTTTCAACCTTCAACCTATTTTAAAACAAATTACACAAAGTAGTACCTATGTCACAGCTACGGACTGGAATGACCAAATTGTTCTGAAATTAGAACATTGATATTGTTTGTGGTTGCTTTAGTTTAAATACCAGTTGATAAACTTTTTTATTAATTTCGATAGATGTTTTCAGTTGGTCCTTTTTTCTTTTCTTTTTTCTTTAATATACATACAAATTGATATATGTAGAGTTAAATAATATTGTGTCATAGCGGCCGCGGCATATCAACTAAAATGAGTAGGTGGTTGACACTTTGTAGTTTACTAATTTAACCGAAGTTAAAAGTCGTAATTGAAAAAGTTTGATCAACTTTGGCAACAGTTGGAGCTGCTATTTCATATTCGCATTTAAAAATGGTATCAAAGAACAATTATAATAAAATTTTGACTCTCTTTGCTTTATTATGTGAATATTTTCTTAGAAGTATATTTTTAAATGTTTTTTTTTTGTTGTCCGTTTCATTAATTTCATTCAAGTTTCAATCGCTCTATATTTCACATACAGATACGTAAGAACATCAAGGCCTTTCCATTTATTTAATATTGAGACACTTTCTACATAAGAAATTCTTAAGGATCTTGTGAATTCGTCTTGCGTTCACGCAAGTGGGTGCGAAATGAACCGGAAAATATAAAGTGGTGCTCAAGTGTTATGAGAAAAAGAACCTTTTTACGACCTCACCTGTGGGTATATATTATTTATTTCTGACATATTCCTGTATGGAAAGAGACAGACTGAAAAATTATGATTATAGAAATCGAAAAAGGCGACCTAGTTTATGGCCCTGATACTGATTAAATTTTTAAACCTTTTACATTTTTTACCTAATTAATGGTTTTTCCATAAGAACTTACTTTCATTTTCTAATTCGTTAAGTCACGTTTAGTGACACATTAATATAATAACGAAATTAGGTCACATTAAAATCCAGCAATCAAGTCGTTTCTAAGAAAGTATTTTATGTCAGATAAAACGATGTAAGTCTTCCATTTTTTTTCCCTCAACCCACCACAAATTTCCTCCAATGCACATTTGGAATCCCAAATGCGATCGTACGCGTTAACATCGGTCCCCATCAGTCCGTTTCCGTGCCTCTGTCCAATATTTGGAGATTAACTTTATCGATGGGTGGACCCTCCCGTTCACTGTCACCTTCTAGAATTACGATCGCAATTGAAATCGGACTGCAACCCGTTAGGCTCGACCGCAAGTGATCGAGCTCAGGGAGAAACGCTTTGACTGAAAGGGTATTCTTGTAACTTTGACATTTCAATCCAATTGCGTAAGATGGATATAGTTTCTTGTAGTCAAGTCGTGGAAGGATGTATCCTTCAGCTCAGCAGAAGGAAATACATTCCGTATTTTAAACTACATTATGACAAAAATATTTAATTGTATGGATGTTAATAATAATTATCATAATGGGAGGAAAGATTATTCTTTGAAACCAATTTGGGTTAAATAAAACAATTTGCTAACTATGTGCTTAGAACTCATGCCTACAAATCTCATTCTCATTTGAGTAAAAATAATTGTAGGTAAGCAGTATGGTATTAAATTATCGAAATCCTAGGTAACACAATAAAATAGAATCGAAAAGGGTTGAACTACGAAAATTGGTTACTATTTCCATTGTTGTTTTTCAGGACGTTATGTAGTATTATACATAATACTGACAATAAATCATATAACCGTGTGATATACGGATCTGTTTTGTCATTCACGGCTCGTATACTGATTCGGTTAGTCGGTCACCTGTATGTTAATGTGACCGTAACCGCATTTGTTGTTTTGTTTACCTCTCTGCCAACTGAGATTATGGGATTGATCTTTGTATGGTACAATGATTATATCTGTTGGGTATATGCTTTTTTATCTTGCTACTGTCAGCTTTATTTGGGAAGTTGATTATGCATAATTATTACACTCAGAGACTAGCATAGGATTTCACAGTCTTCTTCGATGAGTTTTAATCACATTATCTGAAGACAACTGTTTTCTAATTATTATTGGTCTCTTTAGAACTGTGGCTGTGAAAAAGTGATCAAGACATTATTTTCTTACTGTCACAGTCCTTATCTTATTTTCCAAAATAATCCACAGGTAAGGTAAAAAATTGTTTGATAAATTTACTTGCGATTATTTCGATTAAAGAAATACATGTTTATCAAAGAAACATATCGACACTATTTCATTGAGAACATAATAAATACATATCGATTGTCACGAAACCGTACAATTATCGTGTCCAAAACAAAGGCCATACACAATTACCTATCTGTTTGATATTGATCACCGATATTTCTTTGAAGTTGCTATAAAACGCCATAACGGCTCTAATATCCCCAACTATACGACTGTAAGATTAACACTAGTAACTTATTTATGACAAGCTGAAAATGCACTTAAATAATTCCTGACAAGGCACAAAATCGATGCGGCCATGATGCAGGCTATTTCCGTTAGTTCAAGGTTGTATTAAAACGTTTAGTCATTATTAAAACCTTTGCTGCGTGTACTCAACGCGGAAATTAGGACTTAATGGGGAAAACAATAACAAATTACAGTAATTTTTATGTCGAGACTTGTTATTCTTTCATAAGTAAACAGATGCCGATTTGCTTTCGTGAAAAAAAAACTGATTATCAATTTTCGTTCGTTCGTTCGTTTCAGCCAAATGACGACCACTGCTGGACAAAGGCCTCCCCCAAGGTTTTCCACAATGAACGGTCCTGCGCTGCCTGCATCCAGGCTCGTCCCGCGACCTTTACCAGATCATCGGTCCACCTAGTAGGAGGCCTGCCCACGCTTCGTCTTCCAGCCCGTGGTCGCCACTCGAGAACTTTTCCGCCCCAACGACCATCGTCTCTACGAGCTACGTGATTATTAATTTAACATTTGCCAAATTGAATTTTGAGCAAGGAATGAATACATGCCTTTTATATCACCTGAGCTGTGACAATATTGATATAATTATGACTTTAAAGTGCCTTCGAAAAACTAACCTAAGTATAACCGTTTTCAGATTTATTGGGAGTAAACAGTAGGGTGTCCCGAAATGTCTTTTTTTATATTTTCGCTACACAAGACCCCTCAAAAGTTGCGTCATAAGATGTAGATTACCGTAAAAATAATTAAAAAAATATAAAATAATGTCTCAAGGGCTCTACCGGCATTTTTATGTCTCAAAAAATCACTTAATCAGCCCTTCACTGTTTGTCATCTATTATATTTTTTTCACAATTATTTCATTTTATTTTGTAATAACAGTGGCAGCTGAACCCTTCGATATGATTTGCAGGCAATGACAGACTGTTTCCAGTGAGGAATAGGTTTGGTTCGAACTAGCAGAATTCATATTTTGACTTGTTTTTCTCAAATTTTCTACTCCTTCGGCGAGGCTGTTGGTATTATTTCTGTTGTGGTTTTATTGCTGTAAGGTATCGCACCGCAGTTTATTGTTATAATATTACATACTTTTAGAATATATTTAACAAAAATTTAGCAATATATGGTAGTAATATACTTTTTGATTTTTTTCAGGTAAAAACTACCTAGCCACAAATCTTTATAATATTATAATTAAACAGAATACTAATTAACATGTTAAATAGTTTTAGCATACTATTAAATATAAATAACATTTATGTACGTTATATACACTTTCTAGCTGAAGTTTTTGTTGTCTACGCAGTTTTTTACCAATGGTGAACTTCAACGGAAGTAAAAATATATTTTTAGTTATGAAACGCATACATATTATATATCAAATTAAAGACAATTTAATACACTTCATTGGCTCATGTAAAACTTTTAGTAGCGTATAAGACATTTTGTAAAAAAATGATTTAAAAAGTAGTATCACAACAATGTAAAAAAAATCAATTTTCCTTTAATTACTAACTAAAGGTTGATTTTATCGATACAATTTATACCACAAAATATCAAGCGCACACGTAAAGCTATCATAT